AATAGCAAAATTCAACAAGACAGAAAATAACAAATGCTGTGAGGATGTGGAGAGATTGGGAGTCTCATCCACTGCTGATAGAACCGTAAAATGGTACAACCTCTGTGGAAATTGGTATGGCAATTCCTTAAAAAGTTGGAAATAGAAATACCATTTGATCCAGCAATCCCATTACAAGGTATATATCCTAAAGAAGTGAGAGCCAGGACATGAATAGATATATGCACACCCATGGTCATCGCAGCACTATTCACCATAGCAAAGAGATAGAACAACCTAAGTGCTTTTCAATGGAGGAATGGATAATCACACTATAGTACATACACACAATAGAATACTATGCAACATTAAAGAATAATGTTGAAACTGTGAAACACTGCATTACGTGGATGAACTTGAAGGACATTATGCTGAGAGAAATTAAGTCAATCACAGAAGAACAAATATTATATTAGTCCACTATTGCAAAAAGTCAAGGAAAGGTTTACATATATGGAAGGAAACTTTCTTTGTTGGTTACCAGGGATGGGAGGGGAGGGGAGGGAAAATTGCTATATAGGTAAGAGACAAGTACTGATTTGGGTGAAAGGAAAGGCAACATACCAAAACTGATTGACCAACACAATAACACTAAGGAAGACACAGAGAGGTGCACATGAGGTGGTGTTGTTGTTGTTAAGTGCCATCGAGTCATCTCCGATTCATAGCAGCCGTATGCATAGCAGAACGAAACACCGCCCGGTCCCGAGCCAGCTCCACCATCTTTGCTATACTTGAGCCCATCACCGCCGCCAGCACCACCATGTCAATCATCAGCCATACACCTCGTTGAGAGCATTCCCCTCTTTCGTCGACCCTCCACCTTACCAAGCATGATATCCTTCTCCAGGGAATGGTCCCTTCTGACAACATGACCAAAGTATGTGAGATGAAGTCTGGCCATTCTTGCTTCCAAGGAGCATTCTGGCTGCACTTCCTCCAAGACAGACCTTATGAATAGCAGAGAAACACTGTCTGATACATTACTGGGCACATGAGGTAGAGACAACAAAAAAAGAGGACAAGGATAAATACAATATTGCATTATCAGTAACAATGAACATTAATATACAGGTAGATACATAACTAGACAGGCTGAATGATCAGGTAAGTCTACACAAAAGGGAAGATATCTATGGCCATGTATAAGGCTGGCAGATGATATTTTTACATATGTATTTGTATGTGCTGTAAGAACGTTCATATAAATAGAACTAACAGGGCAAAGTTATGATAACTTCTTAGCCACAGATAACCACCCTGATGGAATGAGTTGTTGGACCTGTGGGCTTGGGACCATGGTCATAGGAGACATCAAGCTCGGGTGGCATAACACAGTACACAAAAACATTGTTCTACATCCTACTTTGGTGAGTAGTGACTGGGGTCTTTAAGACTTTTAAAATTTGCAGGTGGCCGTCAAGATGCAACAATTGGTCTCTCCCTGTCTGGAGGTAAGAAGAATGAAGAAAACCAAAGATATATGGAACCAATTAGTCCAAGGGACTAGTGGACCATGAGAACCTCAGCCTATATGACCATAAGACCAGAAGAAGTAGATGGTACCTGGCTACCACTGTCAACTACTCTGAAAGGGATCGGTGCAGGACATCCTGGAATAGAGTGGAGGGAAAATGTGGAACAAAATTCAAAATCATAAAAAAGACCAGGTTTACTGTTCTGATAGAACCTGGTGAAACCCCAGAGACTATGGCTTCTAATTACCCTTCAGACCTAGAATTCAACTCACTCCCATGGCTTCCAGGCAAACAATAGACAGATATATAAGATGAACATTTACACCGGGCAGGTACAGTCCTTAGAACAATCAATCATGGGAGATCAGAAGGGCAGTATTTGCACAGGGAGATAGCTCAGGGGACAGGAAAGAAGGACACAGGAAAGAGGTCACTACAGGGAGGAAGTGGGAGGAGACCTGTTAAATTGTGGGGATTGCAGTCAATGTCATGAAACAAAATGTGTATGAACTGCTGTATGGAAAATGAATTTGCTCTGTAAACTTTCACGCGAATTGCAATAAAAATTTTGAAAAAGATCAACACCTAATGCTTCCACAGGGAGTCATCATCCCTGGTTGAGAACTGTACCAAGCTGGTGTTGCTTCACCAACTGGATGCTCCTTTTGAATGCCAACCTCTCTCCCTCCCCCCCAAAAAAGGAAGGTAGATGTGGGAGACAGTAGTACAGTACATTGCTACAGGCAGAAGAGCTGAATGTTTCTCCTAGGGCCCTTCTGTGGACACTTCAGCTTTCCCTCTTGTTGATTTAATAAGATAATGACCCTGGTCCTATCTCATCCTATCCTACAGAATTAGGGGAGGCAGAGCTGAGTTCAAAAATGGACCTTCATGAACTAACTGTTCCAAGCAGAAATGGTTGTTGATCACCATGTCTTCTCACCTCTGGATGAGTTTTCAGACTCCGTGGATAGTAACCCACACTACCTGCCTGCCTCTCCACCCAAGGCCTCTCCTCAGTGTATCCCCCACCTCCCCCCCCCCAGCAGCAGACTCCCAACCTGAGTCCAGGACCAAGTCCTCAAAAGTTATAGAACCAAGACGTGTGGGTAGGAACAGGTGAGAAAGCTGCATATAAACCCCTGAGGATGCAACTGATTTGTTGCTAGTCTCCATATCCTACTTGCAGATGTATTCTGCTTCCTCGAAACCCTAATGATGAAGCCAAGGAGTTTGCCTTTAGTAATAATAAAAATGTATGCTTCTTTTTTTCTGTGTATAGGTGATTTACCCATTGTGGTAGTTAAAGTTGTGTGTCAACTTAGCTGGGCCGTGGTTTTGAGTGGCTTGGCAGCTGGATGTAGTTATTTTCCATGATGAGATTATAATCACCTCTATGGTGAAATCTGCTGTGAGCAGCTAAGTGGTTGAAGAGAAGTTACCTTTGGGGTATGGTCTGTCTCTAGTATATATGGAGAAGTTTTGAAAAAGGTCTGAAGATTTTTGGCAAATTTGGATCCTGCATTTGGCCGAGTCTTCATCACCAGTTCCTGACTTGAACCAGTGGCCTGTATGTTGCCTACTGAACTTGGGATTGTGCCATTTTACCTCTCAATCTTGGGTTTGTCAGCCTTAGCAGCCAGCAGCTGCATGTATTAGGAGACATGTCCAGCTCTAATGGACTTGGAACAAGAGGTGGAACTGGCACCCAAGGTCAAGGAGCCTTGACCCAGCCCCTAGCGCTGGCACTCTGACTTTGGGACTTCTAGCCTCCTAAACTGTAAAAGAATAAATTCCTGTTTATTAAAGCCATCTACTTGTGGTATTTGTTATAGTAGCACTGGAGAACTGAGCCACCCACTATATTTGTTCCTTACTCAGCAGCCACTGTGATTTGTCAAACCCCAGCTTCAATCCCATCACTCCTCTACTTAAACCCTTTGGTGGTCAAGGTCCAGTGTCTCACCTTGCCCAGCCAGCCGTGTTCTCCCCTCACTCTCCCACCTGTCACTCTCTATGGACTTCTAGAAATGTGTCCTGTGCACTCCTTCCTCTAGGTGTGCACACCTCCTTCTTCTCACCTTTCCCCTACTTCATTTCCACACCCAGTGAGGACTCAGCCTAGGCCACTCTCCATAGGAAGGCTCCAGATCCCTCAAGCCTGGATGGAAACTTCCTCCAAATTGTCTTTCACCATGTGCCGGTAGAAGGTCTTACTCTCCCTCCTCAGATTTTGAGCTCCCTAAGGCCCAGGATTGTGTCTGTCTTGGGGACAGAGTCATCAAGTCCTCAGAGCATGGCACATGTACATGTAGCAGCTGCTCAGATAGTCCATTAAATACAGCATCAGGCTTTGACTTGTGGGTCTGAATCTCCTGCTGAGCTCTGTGTTAATGAGGGAGTAGAAGCCCTTTCCTGAGTGTGGAGGTGGGGAAAGGGAAAATAACAAAAGAGATTCTTGGAGAAAAGGTTGAGAGGACCAGGGATCACAACACAGATTTTGCCCTTAGAAATGGAGTATTGGGGAGTGTGTGCTCCCTGAACAGGAAATGGATGAGTGATGAAGCTTTGGGTTTGGGGTCAAGGAGCCCCCTTGAAGTTGCAACCGTTGGAATGAAAGCTGGTTTGCTTGAGATGCTCAGTGTCTGGCCCAAAAGGTGGGCTGCAGGCCAGAAAGAGGCCACCCAGTACCGTGAGTCTGCAACAAGTTCTTGGCTTTTCCAGAGAGAGTTCTTAACACACTGTGCTGGTCATGGGAGGCCTGGGCTGGAAGATCTTCCACATCCTTCACCGTTGTCTGGATAGGTGGTCTCCCAAGATGGGGGTAGCTGCAGTGGAGAGAGGAGGGCCACTCAGAGCCCTGGCCCTGCCCCTTACTAGAGGGTGAGGCTGGGTAAGAGCCTAGAGCCTTGGCTTATGTTGGCTGGGCTGTCAAGAGGCATTAGATTATGACCTTCGGGGTCTCTGGTCTGACTTCACCTCTCCAAGCTTTTATTTCTTCAGCTTTAGTTTCACCCCATCTCATTAGGCTGCTGTGAAAGTTAAATTAGATCATGCACTTAAAATGCACACCTGGGCACAATGGAAACAATCAGTGAATTTCTGATTTTCATGATCAAAATTTGTACTTTCATAAGAACTCAGTGCCTACAATGGTGGTGGTGTCCTTTTTCTTAAAAAAAACCAAACACTGAAAAAAATTTAGTCAGTGTTATGAAGAAAGGCACAAGGTGTGGAAGAGTTTATATTGGAGACCGAAATTAATATGTGGGGTCAAACAAAGCTTCCTTGATGAACTGTCATTGAAGCTAAGACCAAAGATAAATCAATTTTGACTGTGTGAAAATTGTGTGTGTGTGTGTGTGTGTGTGCTTTGAGAGGGGTGGATGTTAAAACCTAAAGTTTTGTCAATTGCAACAGTTGGAATAGCCCCTGGGGACTAGGCATTTTAACTATTGAATGACTTGCAGAAAACAGTTTTATTTAGATTTCCACGTTTATTCCTGCTCGGATGATCCAGCCACTATTGGACGCTGCAGCCTTCCCCAAGTACCAGGGTCCGGCCACAAACCAGCGATTGCTGAGAAGCTGCTGGCCGCCCAGAGATCTGCGCAGCTGGTAGCTGATGCTCATTCTCAGCCCCATTTCCCAGTCCAGGAAGGTGAGGTTCGGGCAAGACCTGACACGCCCAAGGTCAGTGTAGCGGCGGGGTGGGGCTCCACCACCAGGCTCCGTCCGTCGCCCGCTCAGGCAGCCGCTGTCAGCACCCGCGCGGCTGTCACCATAGTCCCCTCCCACACATGCCCCGCGAGCGGCCCCCGGGGTTTCCACTGAGCTTTCCCGATCGCGTGAACTGCAGCGGGAGGCTGGCTGCGCGACTCTTATCAGTCCGGGTAAGTTCTCTCCGGCGGATCCCCAGGGGCCAAACCCTTCTCCACGCCTTGAGCCTTCCTCGCATTCCCGAGACCCCCCGGGCGGGGCTGCGCTCGGGTCTAGCTCCCCTTGCTCGAGCTACCGAGGGGGTCCTCGGCCCGCCCTCCGGCCCACGTGGCCCGCCCGGCCTCCCAGCCTCCGGCCCCGCCCCGGGGAGCCGCCCCCGTCGCCACCGCCACAACCACTAGGCGCTGCGGCAGTGCGCTCCCAGCCCGGCCCAGCCGAGCCAGCGCGGGGCGCTGAGGTGAGTGCAGGCGGCCCGCCGGAACCCCTTTCCCCGCCGGCTAGACATTCCCATGTGGACACCCTGGAGTTGGATACTCCCCTGGTTGGATTTCTCCCCTTCCCTTGATTCACCACCCGGAGCTGGACCCCCGCCTCCGAGTCTGTCTCACCGCCGTCGCGGTGTCGGTAGCGGCGCACGGGGGCGCTCTGGGCGCGGCGCAGGTGGGCAGTGTCACCGCCACCCAGAGCTGGCCGCCGCCCCTGCTGGAGACCCTGACTCGGGGCCTCGGGCAGCTCCTCGAGCCGCTTCCGGGGAGGATGGTGTCACCTGTCCCGAGGCGCAGCCCCCTTCCCTTTTTCCTCAGTTTTCTTAGGCGCCCTCGCAGTAGGCACTTCCCTAGCCCAGGCGCGGCGCTCGCAGGTTAGCGTCGCGTTGCGCGCTGCTGGGGGTGGCTTGCAGAACGGCCGGTCAACTTCGCTACAGGGCAGCGGGACTTCGAGCGCGCCGAGCGGCGGCCGCGTTCCGGGCCCGCCAGAGCTGGTGCTGGCGGCTGCATCTTTTAAAAGTGCGCTGCTAGACGGTCCTGAAAATAGGGGATGAGAGTGGCAAACGCCGAGGGATTTAAGTGAATGTTGGTGCCTCGTATCCAGAGACGGGTGAGCATTTTCTGAGGGTGGAAGTTGACCGAAAACCTGCCAAACCAAACCCACTGCTATCGAGTACATTCCGACTTACAGCATTGGAATATAGAACACAGTAGAACTCCCCCCATAGAATTTTCTAGGCTGTAAATCTTTACGGAAGCAGACAGTCACATCTTTCTCCAGTGGAGTGCCTGGTAGGTTTCAACCAGCGACCGTTTGGTTAGCAGCCAGTGTGCCACCAAGGCTTCTGAAGGTGACCGAGTGGAGTGAAAATGGGTTCCTGTGGGCTTTGCCATGGACTAGAACTGCTCTTGCACTATCAACGGGCTCATTGCTTTGAACATTGCTGGAACAGAGTGGCTGGTTCCTAGAGGACTCGATTTATGGCTGAACCAGGCTGGTTTCCAGCACTTGGCAAGTTGTGAGAACTGCCAACAATAGTTGTCTTGGATGCATTCACAGACACTTAATTTTAAGCATTTCATGCACTACCTAGGTAATAAATGCTTTCTTCTGTGGGGTGTGGAAGACGAGAGCTTTGCTATGTCTTTATTTTAGCTGTGTGGTCTTGTGCAAGTTACTTCTCATCTTTGTGTCTGTTTCTTCATCTGTAAAATGGGGGCAATAATAGAAACCATAAAGGGTTGTGTAAGATTAAAACACAATAATGCCTAGTACAAGGAAGTTCTGCCTGTGTTAGCTGCTCTTATTACCACTGATATCTGTCTAACAGGGCATCTACATCCTTTTTCCCCTGGAGACTCTTGGTCTTTACCTTCCCTGCAAAGGACCTGAGTTCTTTTTTTTTTTTTT